CCGGGCGCGGGCGCCCCGCCCGGCACTCGCCGGCCGCTGCCGCCCCCAGGTTCGGCACCGACAGTCAGGGCAAGTCATGGTGCTGAAGATGAACAGGCTCCCCAGTAACCGGGGCAACACGCTACGCGAGGTGCAGCTGATGAACCGGCTCCGGCACCCAAACATCCTAAGGTGAGCGGGCCCGGCCGCTTGCCGGGCCGCCGGGGGGCGGGAGCGGGAGGGAAAGCTCCCGCGGGAAAAGTGGGGATTGACGAGGAGCCTGGGCTCTTACCGCCTCCCCTTCTATCTTCCCATCCTGTCTCAGGTTCATGGGGGTCTGTGTGCACCAGGGACAGCTGCACGCTCTTACTGAGGTGAGGACAGGCCGGGAAGGGAGGAACCCCGCGCCACCACCAAGGAGAAAGGGAGTCAGCGGGCCTGGTGGATCTACACAGAAAAAATGAGAGGCAGCAGGACCTTCTCCCAGAGGAGGCTTCCCTGAACTTCCCTGTGGGCACACCAGTATAAAAGGCCTCAGCTGGTCTCATTCCCTGTATCCCCTAGAACAGTGCTGTGGGACAGAACTTTCTGCAGTGATGGAAATGTGTGCTGTCCAATACAATGGCCACTAGCCACATGCGGCTTGGCTAGAGCACTGGAAATGTGGTCGGTTGACTGAGGAACTAAATGTTTAATTACGTTTGCATTTAAAATTGTTGCACATGTTTGATAACTGTAGAATTAAAGAGCACAATCCTAGAACACAGACTCACTCTTCTGACCTTTGTGATCCTCCTGAGTGTCCCTGGCTTATAAGTGGGAGACCTAGAATACGGACCGAAGCCTGACCTTCATTCCCCTTCTTCTTCTCCTGTACCCCAGTATATGAATGGGGGGACCCTGGAACAGCTGCTCAGCTCCCCAGAACCCCTATCCTGGCCAGTCAGGCTGCGCCTGGCTCTGGACATTGCCCGGGGCCTTCGGTACCTGCATGCCAAAGGTGTATTCCACCGAGACCTCACATCCAAGGTAGGCTAGCCAGGTGGGTGGAGGCATGGAAGGGGGAGCTGAGACTATTAGGTTGTAAGGCCTATGGATGTTGGAATGTGGATAATAGATGTATTTGGATGTTGAAGTGGAAGGCATTAGAGAATGTTGGGGACCGGTGAGGGGAGTGCTCTTAGGGCCTATGTTTGGAGTGTTAGATGATGTTGCATTGTGGTATATGCTGGAGAACTGGGAGATCAGAGAAGGTTGAGGTTATGCTAGAGTGACAGGGCTTGGGTTGTAAATCGGGAGACCAGAGAGCAGAGAGTGATGGGTGTATGGGGAAGCTTTATGTGTGTGTTTCAGAACTGTCTAATCCGACGGGAAGACCGAGGCTTCACAGCTGTTGTGGGTGACTTCGGGCTGGCTGAAAAGATTCCTGTTTATAGGTAAGGTGACTGCTGTGCTTCCCCCTAAACCTCCCAGAGTGCCCCATCTGATGTCTCTAAAGGCCTCAGGGTGGGGAGAGGGCTCACCTCATCCTCTTTTGCTTGGAAAGGATGCCTGAGTGGGATATTTCTGACCACCTTGCCTCTGCCCTGCAGGGAAGGGGCAAGGAAGGAACCATTGGCTGTGGTGGGGTCCCCATACTGGATGGCTCCAGAGGTGTTGCGGGGTGAGCTGTATGATGAGAAGGTAAGACATCAACCCTTCAGATCCCCAAGGCCTTCCAGAGACCCTCTGGAGACTCTCATAAAGCCCCATCCATCTCAACAGCCCTAATAGATGTTCAGGAGCCCCAAGATCTCCCTTGCCCCTCACAGGCACCCTTCCAACACATGAAAACTGTCAAGATCTGCCCCCTCAAAATTCTTCTATATTCTGACAAAATTCTGAAGTAAAAACTGCCAGTTCCTCCCCCTGACTTTATTATCTCCTACCCCAGGCTGATGTCTTTGCCTTTGGGATTGTACTCTGTGAGCTCATCGCCCGAGTACCTGCGGACCCTGACTACCTACCCCGTACTGAGGTGAATGTCTCTAGGTTTGAAAAGGAAGAGCTCCGGACTGGTGACTCATAACCAGGGGTCCCTGGAGGTTGAGGTCCTGATTAAGGGGCAGAAGGAGAATCCAAGGAAGGCTGACTTGGAGGCCCCTCCTCTCTGCCCCCACAGGACTTTGGCCTGGATGTGCCCGCGTTCCGAACTCTGGTAGGAGATGACTGTCCGCTGCCTTTCCTGCTCCTGGCCATCCACTGCTGCAGCGTAAGGGCCTCACTCTCCCTCCTGCCTCCGCCCCCCGCCCATGAGTTGACATGGCTGCCTTGTGGGACTCAGGCCATGGGAGAAAAACTCAGGGGCCCACTTTCAGAGCACTGAGTGAAGCTGCCCCTGTCTCTGCCCACCAGATGGAACCCAGCACCCGTGCCCCCTTCACTGAAATCACCCAGCACCTGGAATGGATCCTGGAGCAGCTGCCTGAGCCAGCCCCCCTCACTAGGACTCCCCTGACACACAATCAGGGTAAGTACGAATGACCTTGACCCAGCTGAAGTCCTTTTGCCTTGCTCTTCCAGAGAACTCAGAGAATTATGTGGGGAGGCTACGTGTATTCATCAGTTGAGAAGGCTGGGAGTTGGGGTGGGGTGGGAGACCTCTCAAGTCAGTATTCTAATGCCTGAGGGAGGGGAGGAAGGAGAGAAGCGGTAAAGGGGAGCTAGAGGTGATGTGGCCCTTGTCCAAGGCACCCTGCTGGGCTCCCTTTCTAAGCTGTAGTCCTACCAACCTCTTGGAGAATAATGAGGTCCTCATGGAGCTATGATCAAATGCTGAGAACAGTGACCCCAGACTCCTCTGTCTACAGGCTCTGTTCCAAGAGGGGGTCCCTCTGCTACGCTTCCCAGGCCAGACCCCCGGCTGTCCCGAAGCCGGTCAGACCTCTTCCTGCCCCCGTCACCAGAGTCGCCCCCCAACTGGGGGGACAATCTGACTCGAGTCAACCCCTTCTCTCTCCGGGAAGACCTCAGGGGTGGCAAGATCAAGCTTCTGGACACACCCAGCAAGCCAGGCGCCCCCCTACCCCTAGTGCCACCACTGCCCTCCACTCAGCTCTCCTCGGCAACCTCTCCGGAGACCCTGGTCCAGCCCGGGACACCGGCCCGCCGCTGCCGTTCACTGCCCTCATCCCCTGAGCTCCCTCGGCGTATGGAGACAGCACTGCCCGGTCCTGGCCCACCCCCCGTGGGCCCCTCGGCTGAAGAGAAGATGGAGTGTGAGGGCAGCAGCCCTGAGCCAGAACCCCCAGGACCAGCTCCCCAGCTGCCCCTGGCCATGGCCACAGACAACTTTATCAGCACTTGCTCCTCAGCCTCCCGGCCCTGGTCCCCTAGGCCAGGACCTTCCCTCAACAACAACCCTCCAGCTGTGGTGGTGAACTCCCCCCAAGGCTGGGCTGGGGAGCCCTGGAACCGGGCCCAGCATAGCCTGCCCCGGGCAGCAGCCCTGGAGCGGACGGAACCCTCACCGCCCCCTGCAGCTCCCCGGGAGCCCGATGAGGGGCTGCCCTGCCCTGGCTGCTGCCTCGGCCCCTTCAGCTTTGGCTTCCTGTCCATGTGCCCCCGCCCCACACCAGCTGTTGCCCGCTACCGAAACCTGAACTGTGAGGCGGGCAGTCTCCTCTGCCACCGAGGGCGCCACACCAAGCCACCCACGCCCAGCCTGCAGCTGCCTGGGGCACGTTCTTAGCAGTGGGGCCTGTGGTCGTAGGCCTCCAACTGCAGCCTTCAGGACACCCTGTGAGGACAGAGTGCACTTGCTGGACAGTGCCAGCCCCAGATGGGCTGCCTGGCTCTTCTCCCCGTCTAGGGGAGCCTCAGCATGGACTCGAGGGACAGAGCACTTCAATCCAACCCCTGGGCTTGCACTCCCGTGGGGATCACCAAACCAGACACAGCATTGCTGACACAAGACTAACACGTGCAATTATTTAAAAATATTTCAATAAAACTGCCTGGCTGGCTCCGGGCCGCCCCTATCCACTCAGCCTGTGCGCCCTCCTCCCACCCCCCCCATTCCACTGTGGAAGGTTCTTGGGGGGGGACCAAGTCCCTTTTAGAGGCTTCTTCACTATTTTCCTAGGAGTAGTCCAGTTTCTGAACAGTCCACTGTTTTCCTAGGAGCAGTCCAGGGTTTCAGGCAGGCAGCAGGTTGGCTAGAAGAGTCAGGCATGGATTAGCCGTTGGCTGGGTACTGCCCAGAGTAAGGGAATGCTGGGGGCAGATGATCTTAGGATCTGCAGGACATAGGATAGGGAGAAGGGCCACAGGCTCTTGTTGGCAAGAGCATCAGAAAGAATAAAACATCAGTGATTTAACTGTCGCTGAACCCTCATCACTAGCTGGGTGTGGTGGCACACCCTGTTGTCCCAGCTTCTAAGCAGAGGTGGAAAGATCACCTGAGCCCAGAAGGCTGAGGCTGCAGTGAGCCATGATTGTACCACTGCACTCCAGCCTGGACAACAGAGTAAGACCCCAACTCAAAAAAAACCAAAAAACCGTGCAGCTCACCCCGTCTCCCCAGTTTTCTGAACAGCCACATCACCAGCCTCCCTTCAGTTCTGGGCCTTACCTGCCCCCTCCCCACCCAACCCACCCTTATTTAAGCAGATCAAGCCACCGGAGGCTGTGGGCACGACTGTTGTCCTTCCAGGTCCAAGTTTTCCCTCAGACCTCTGGGCTCCTGCTCTGAATCTCTCTGCCCCCGGGTTCCTCATGCCTCAGCCCCGTCTCTCACACTTACCCAGCTCAGTGTAAAAAGCCATCCTGAACTGGAAACCTGAAAGCTGCCATCTCACAGATGCAAGGAAGGAAACTTGTACATTGTAGCTGCATTTTTGTCCAAAACTTGGACCCGTAACGAGATTTTTCTACTTTGACACACGATGGACTTCGAGTGTGAGTCCTAATGAGCAATGAAATAGAACTAGAATAACCCCTCCTAGCCCACCCTCCCTACTCTTCCCTTGCTCCACATAAAATCTAACCCAAGTCCTAATTCACCCTGCCTGCCTAAGGACAGGCATGGGCATGGTTCAGAGACAGATGTCTGGACTCTCAATTAGAAGAGGTTTTCATATTAGGAGAGGCAAAACTCACCCAAGGTCTTAAAGATGAAACCTCCAGTTAGGGAACATGAGAAGGTGGCCATCCTGTGTTGGGGTCCCTAGGGTTGACCCTCAAAGTTACCCCATGCTCCCTTGCTCACTTCCCTCTAGTGCCCCAGGTGGCCCTTCCTGAGAAAGTACAATCCCAGTTTGGGCAGTCTTGTCAAGGGATGGGATGTTAGAATGCTGCTGTTTCATCTGCTGTGAAGCCTAGCTCAATAAATGCTCAGTTTCTTCCTCTGAAAGAGGATGTAGGTCCCCATTTAGTCGTTATTTTTTAAGTATGCCAGGAGCTTCTAGGTACCGAGGGTAAAACAGAATAAGATTACCATAAGGAGATATTAATCAAATAGAAATGGACAAACTGGCAATTACACTGTTGTTTTATGGAAGAGTTTTGATAGCAGTACCGGGGAGGAAATCTCATTACCATGTCTTCACGGGGGGATCATGAAGTTGGAAGTACCTGGAGGTCCCAGCAAACTTACTGAACGTATTGCATACCACTAGTCCACTGTTGGTCCTTATCCAAGATGAGGCCAACCCAAAATTGTAGCTCCTCTGAAACTTTAGCTGGCAACAGTGCACTTAAGTCCACACGGTAAGGAAACTGAGGGGAGATTCAGAGAGACCAGAAATGTGTGGAGAGTGATGAGAAATATGGAAGCAAATGAACACCCTAGGGAGGCTTCAGATTTAAGAAGAGGGCCATATACATTACAACTCACTGGTGATTTGTTCCTGCATCCTTCAAGTGCCACCCTACAGATACAGGCTCACCGTTTAGTTCACCTCCCGGCTGGGTAAGAATTTCTGCCAACTTTGGAAGGGGCGTCATTCTATGGGTTGTTCTGGTCCCAAGGAACCAGTCCCTACAATCCAGCCCACTAGGTATGGGGATCTATCTGCCTGAAAAACCAACATGTTAAGCAGCCCAGTGAGCTGACCAGCAAGCTGAGAAGAGACGCAGATCAAAGCAGAGACGGTTCATAAGTTTTTGCTTTCGTGCCAACCCTAATAGTAGGGACTGCCTGGAGCACTGTGCTAAGAAGATGCAGAGGCCATTTCTAAGCTCACTGGTAAAGAGCATTGTGATTGATTCTCAGTCTTTGCCATGGAAAAGGAATGCCTGCCCAGCCATGTGTGTACTGCCATTCCTGACTTGATGACATATGTCTCTTTACCTAACAGTACCCACTACAGTCTGTGAATCAGGGTATGCTTACTGAATAAGTATATATTTCACGGAATGTGGCCAGCTTGGAGGACAGAGATTCACAATGCTTTTGGCTCTCCTGCCAATTTTTTGGAGTAAGTGAGATGTAAAAGCAGCTTTTTTGGATCTGTATCCATCCTACTGGACAGCAGGTATCTAAAAAAAAAAAAGAGAGTGTGACAGCAGCAACACTTGGCCTGAAAGTGACTACTCAGCAATCTGGTTGCTAACACTATTCCCCTAGGTCTAATCTCAGCACCTTCATAGACTTCTAGTTCTTGATCTTTGCAATTTTTAAAAATTTTGCCTCCTCTGGAAATATCATACCTATGTAAACTCAGTAAAAGATTAACACTCAACAACATTACTTTTTAACAATATTGGAAGTTTGTTTTATTTTATTTTATTCGTCCAAGTCTCTCTGCCACCCAGGCTGGAGTGCAGTGGCACGCTCACTACCATCGCAGCTTCGACCTGCTGGGCTCAGACAGTCCTTCCATCTCAGACTTCCAAGTAGCTGAAACTACAGGAGAGAGCCACCTGGCTAATTTTTTTATTTATTGTAGAGACAAGGTCTTGTCAAGTTGCCCAGGCTGGTCTACAACCCCTAAGCTCAGGCAATCCTCTTGCCTCCACCTCCCAAAGTGCTGGGATTACAGGTGGTAGCCACTGCGCCCAGCTTACTTTTTGATTTTTGAGATGGGGTGTCACTCTGTCACCCAAGCTGAAGTGCAGCGATGCTACCACAGCTCACTGCAGCCTCAAACTCCTGGACTCAAGCGATCCTCTCACTTCAGTCCCCTGAGTAGCTAGGACTGCAGGCGTGTGCCACTTTGGCCAGCTAGGTTTTCTTTTAATAGGGTTGATGTTACTACCCTTAATTTCTGAACAGCTACAGTCCACCTTGACACTTTGGCTAACATCACCTAACCCCTGTAACTGTTCACTGGGCCTCTCATTCATCTCCTCTGCTCCCTAAAACACCTCCAACTGCACACCCAGGACTCCCACTCACCCAGTCACTACCTCTCCATTTTTCCACAAGCAGACAACCTGAGACACCGTTTTGCAGAAACAGTGAGCTTGCCCCATTTCCCTCCTCTCCACCTCAAAATGTCTCTCTTCTCTGTTCTTCTTTCACTGACTATCCATAAGAAAGAATCATCAACCGGGCTCGGTGGCTCAGCCTGTAATCCCGCGCCTTTGGGAGGCCAAGGTGAGCGGATTGCCTGAGCCCGTGGGCTCGAGACCCGCCTGGGCAACTTGGCGAGACCTCATCTCTACAACAAATCAAAAACTTAGCCGGGCGTGGTAGCGTG